ACCTCCTCTAAACATCTCTTGCCTTGAAAACCCGACAGGGTCGCCACAAATTGGCTGTGACCAGATGGCAATAAATAAATAAATAATAAAGCAATTGCTCCCAGTCTTATCTACTGGGAGACATGTAGCCTGCCTTGAAGCTGATCAGAAAAGCTGCACTCCTGCAATGCCTTGTGCCAACAGCCGCAGAATTCTCCTGCCAACTGAGCTATACTTAGGATCCAAGATAAGGTAATTAATCTCAGTTGGCCTTATTAAGATTTGGGGGAACTGCACACAGACATAAAAACAAAAGGATTAGCATCCACTTAACGAAAGAGCTCATCCACCCGGGCATAAAGAACCAACAATAGAGCAATTACCTGAAAGTTCCATCCTGCTAACAAAGCCGATATCCTGCTTTTCCATCTCACCATTAAGATGCCCTCTCTTCCACCTCTCAAGGATAATTAATAACCCCACAGTGCTTCAACCACAAGATGACCAAACACGCTGGGAAAATGTTACAGGGTACTGGGCAAGTGCTCAGGAGAAGAAGGGTGAAAATCGTTCGGCCTTCTACCCAAGACAGCCATTCAGACAGCTCATGACTGACATATGCTTGGCCCCACCAAATCAGTCCTTATCAGCTGAGATGGTTTTTCTTCTCTGAAGTATGCATGGGCCCAGGCTATTCACAGCCACAGCTGTTTCTGAAATTAGTGCAGCTTATCAAGAGCAGAACTGCTGATGGGTATCAGAACCAAAATCCTTCTTGGTCAAAATATGTACTTCTGACAATGGACAGAGAGCCCTCTCAAACAGGGCCTGAAGGCTCGCTTTCACATTGAGTTGTAGAACACCCATGTCACATGCTCCTGGCAGATCATTCTGAGAGCCACCGTGCTCGCTTGCCAAATGTGACTAATCGCATAAGTTCAAAACCATTCAAGATGTTCAGTAACCCAAGCAGCAAAATGGCTCCAGTCCCTAGCATGAGAAATGGAGCCAAATGGACACAATAGAACCATTTATGATTCTAACTTGTACACTGGAAAGACCTCTGCCAAGATGCAGCCAAAGGTCAAGAAATACTTTTCCTCCCAAGAGAAGAACCACTGCCTAATCCCCCCCCCCAATACATACTGACATCTAGCACTCTTGGAAAGTGCCACCAAGTTGCAGCAACCATATAGCAACCCCGTAGGGTTTTTGAGCTAAGAGACATTCAGAGGTGGTTCGTCATTGCCTGCCTCTGTGTAGCAACTCTGGACTTCTTTGATAGGCTCCCATACAAATACTGATCAGGGCCAACTCTGTGTAGCTTTTGAGAACTGATTATATCAGCTCAGTCTAACACTCTGCCCTGGAACATAACCATAATGGCTCTTCACCCACACAGTCATCAACATACAGATGTGACCTTTCCACACACTCTAATTAAGGGAGGGAGGAGAACCATGCACAGCACGTTTTCACATTAACAATATATCCTGTCCTAAATGTTGTGCATACAGATCTTCCCTTAGGAAACCCATTGATGAAAATTTAAACCACCATATCTGACATAAAGCTTAATGAATACAGGGAAAGCCAGATGCCCACTGAATCTGAGCTCCTAAACAAAGTTTGAACTGAAACCTTCTAGGGCTACTTGATTTAATGAGGCTATCCCATCCGAAACCCATTCACAGCCATGTCAAGAAATGCAAAGGCCCACAAAAATACTGCTTTTTCCTGAAGACTTTTTTCATTTTTTCCAGTGGAAACACTGGGGCATTTAGGGAAGCACAGGGGGGGGGGGGACCCTGCTATGAAATATTTTCTATTTTCGAATGAGAAACCCTTGTCTTAAAAAGCATTTTGCCCATTCCAAGTGCACAGCATAAAAGAGTCTGAAAACTTTCTCAGTTTTTCCAACAGAAAAAGTAGTAAATTTGGGGTCATGCTGAAAAAAAAAACCCTCCTTTTACAGCTTGTTTCTGGGCCCAATTCAAAGTCTTGGTGTGTGTTGTTAAAGATCTACATGGCATTGGACTGAGGAATTCATCCATACATATAAACATGACTGGAAGTTGGGACTAACTTGCACTTGCCTTCTTTGTGTGCCTGTTTTTAGTGAGGTATGGTTGGTCTGAAAGCAGCAGAAGGCCTTTCCAACAATGGTTACCCATGCTCTAGAACTCCCTGCCCCTAGAAACCCCACCAGACCCTTGCCCAAAGCCACTATTTCTACCTTTTGAGAGGATTTATATCCCACCATTCCATTTTGCAATTATTCCAGAGGGCGCGATCTAAATTTCTGCTGCATAAATCAAACACATCAGCAGAGTCCCCCAAACGGGCTTTCTTGGTGGTGGAGGAAAGTGCCATCAATTCACAGCCAAAGGATTTTCAAGGCAAGATATGTTCAGAGGTGGTTTGCCATTGCCTGCCTCTCTGAGTAGCAACTTCCTTGGAGGAATACCATTCAAGTACTAACCAGGGCTGACCCTGCTTAGCTTCTGAGGTCTGATGAGAGCAGGCTAGCCTGAGCCATCCAGGTCAGGACATGGGATTTCTTACTTGCCTTAAACAGACAACTACTCATGCACATGGGCCCCTGTAGCCAAAGGATCCCACACAACCCTGTTCAAATTCACTAAGCCAGCAGTCGTGTTTTCCTACACATCAAACATTTACCATAAATCTCATTTCCCAAAGGAACCTCAGTCAACAGCCCCACCCTTCACTGCATTAATTTCACATAGGATAACATCACCACCAGGAAAAAACTGCAAGCCAATTATTTCTACTGTAATGAAGTCCCAGGACCCACTGGCAGGGGAGAAGGAAGAAGCGCATGTCTTACCACCCTGTTCCAGACAGCTCCCTGCTTGCTCTGAATATCAGGAGTGAGGCGCACAAACTGGGTCATAACCATAGCGTTGCCCATAAGTTCCCACAGAGAGGAGCTGGAAGAGCCTACACCTGCATTGTGGAAGAAAGAAAAGACAGGTAAGGCAGAGGTCTTCCAGGCATCAAAACCGTCACCAACTGTTCATCACAGACCTCAGAATGGGAGCTATAACGGATAAAGAGGAAGGGCCACAGAAACAGAACCAAGCTTGATTTCTGAAGGACACATCCATCTCCAGGCATTCCCCTCCACTTTCTCCAGTATGAAAGAGCATCATGCACACTTACAAAGAAAAAACAAAAGACTACATTTTGATACAATGTTGTAGTAAGCAGCCCTGACTTGGGTATCCCATCCTTCATGGCACCAGAAGGGCAAGCCGTGTGCAGAAATTCAAAAGGTGAAGCTCCAGAAAGACTGGGAAGAACTGATCTTCAGTGGCAGCAGGGCTTTGTACCTTCAAAGCTGGGTACTTAGGTAGAAGCCCTGACCCAAATGGCCCAGGCTAGCCCAATCGTGTCAGATCCTGGAGACTAAGCAAGGTCAGCCCCAGTTTGGATAGGAGATCACTATGGAATACAAGGGCCGCAACGCAGAGGCAGGCAATGGTAAACCACCCCTGAACGGCTCCTTTGCTTTGAAATCTATATGGGGGGGGTCTCCATAAATGGACTGCGACTTGACAGCACTTTCCACCATGCTAGATAGAAATCCAACCAAGCGGAATCCTTCCCACCCCCTTCCCCATCACAGACATGTTAAGTTTGGAGACATTTTCAGGGCTAGCAAAGCTTCTGTGCAAGGGCGCGCAGGGACAGGTCTAACAGGAGAACTCTAAACACGGCGTTGTGGAGAGTCACCGACGGGACTTCCGGCTGCCATGCAGCCTCTTTAAAGGCACCGGGGGGGTGGGGCGGTGTTCCGACCCATGAGAAGGTGAAAAGCCACCAGCCTGGCCACAGCTCACCCTGATAAGGCTTAGTGAGCGAGTGCTCCCGCTTCAGATGCTCCTCCATCTGTTCGGCCAGGGCCATCCACAGCAGAAGCTGCAGCAGGACGCACAACCCCGCTTCGCGCCGCCACTTTCGCCGGGATGGTCCCGCGGCGACCCCTTCCACCGCCATCTTTTCCCCTCCACCAGACCCGATCAGCTGCTTAGTCCGCCCACCTCCTGTCTCCTTTCCTGAGGCAAAATCGGACACGGCTTTCTTTGGCTTAACCGTAAGGCACCGCCTATTTCCGCGTAATGTACCCTCCCGGTTGGCTGAAAGGTTTGCTTGTCAACTAAAAGAAGGAGGGCTGCAGACGTTTCATGCATGCCCCGTGATGGGTTCTGGGAGCTGTGGTTCCTTGAGAGATCCCACGTTAAAGGGACACGAGCACGTTTTCTGTCAAGGTGCGCAAACACGTTTCAGCGTAGCTCGGTGTTTGTTGTCGCAAATGCGTCCTGGAAGAGCCTATTACAAGTCCATGCAGTTCATATGTTGAAAGGAAAGCTATTTCATTTATGACTACATAATTGTATTTACGTGGTTTTAATGGTACTGCGGAAGCACTTGTCACATCACCTGCCTTCTACTGAGTCAGGCCATTGGTCCAGGGGTCATTTCGTAGAAAAAGAGGTGCAGGAGCTCATTAGCACAACTTATTTGCATATGCCACACCCCCTGACATCACCGGAAGCGTGTCAGAAGGCAACACCCACCGCTCAGGCTCCACTGGACTGTTTTGGATTGCTAGCTATGGGGGCGGGGGCATGCAGATCTGCTCTCACAGAGGAGGAAGAACTTGTACCTGGATAAAACTTGGTCTTAAAGGTGCCACTGGACTGTTTTGGAGGGGGGGCGGCAGGGGGAGCTCTGCAACTTACCTGGCTGCTTCTTGCTCTGACTGAGGGCTGCTGGGAGCAGGGGGTGGAGCTTGTTGCATGTGCCCGCCCCCTGGGCTCCTTACTGCCGGAGCTCCGCTCCTGTGCGCTCCTGCAGGAAATGACCCCCGCATTGGTCTAAAGGTCAGTATTGTTTATTAAGTCTGACAGCATCTCTCCAGGATCTCAGGCAGAGGCCTGCGTTTTGCACCACCTATTACCTGACCCTCTTAAATGGAGATGCTGGGAATAGAGCTAAAGGCAAAGATTCTTCTAAATGCAAAGAAGGTGCACAACCATTGAACCACAGTGGTCCAAAGAAGGAAGCCGGCTGCCTTTGTGCTGCTTGGCTGAAAACTAGAAGGCATGAACAGGCTGAATTCTTACTTAGCATCTGGGTAACTGCACACTTTCCCTTTTATCTCCATAAGTAATGGGGCTATTTCTTTTTCGAATACACATATGTATTTCCTGCCTACTTGTGGCCAAAATAAGCAAGTCATTGTGAAACAGCAACAGTTTCTTTATTAATATTTTTCTTTATTTTTATTTCTTTCCTGACATATAACAGCAACAATCATGACAATATGTATATAGCAGTTCACATACCACCTTGTTGAGACATTTGGAAACAGAAGTAGGCATCAGGAGACGTACTTTGGGCTGATTTGTGTCATTCCTTACGGGTCAGACTCAAAGGGTGCTGGAGAAAAATTGTCATCAATTTGTGGGATTTGTCATGTGGTGTCCCACAAACCTCAGTCCTGTCCCCCAGGCTATTCAATCTAGATGTAAAATCCTTAGGAGAAAGGAACATCATCAGTATGCTGACAATACCCAGTTCTGATCTCTCTATCCAGATCACCTGGTAATGGTCTATCCAAATCACCACTGCCTGACTGCTGTGGTTAAGTGTCTAAAACCAAATAAGATAAAGCTGAATCCCACCAAAATGCTGGTTGGGAAGGAAGATGTGCTTCCCACTTTTGATGGGCTCCAGTCGAAGTTTGCTGACTTGGGTAAAAGCTCAAGAGTTATACCAGACCCAGCATTACTGCTAGAGGCACCAGTTAATGCAGCTGCAAAAAATGCTTTTGTCTGTATTCATTTAGCCCACAGGCTGGCTCCCAACCTTGACCTGGTCAATCTGGCCACATGAATCTATGCCACAATGACCCCCAGACTACATTATTGTGATGCAGTCTACATGGATCTGCCCTTGAAGTTGGATCACGGCCTTCATCAAGAGCTAGATGGAATATGCATATTACATTAATTCTGCGGTCACTTTTTGGGTTACCTATCAGTCATTGGGTTCAATTCAAGTTACTTATTATCACACAGGAAGCCCTTCATGACCTTGGCCTCTCATATACCCAAGACTGCCTCTCCTGCTATGCTCATCTGAGCAAAGCTTTCTGAAGGTGCCAGCCTGCAAATGGGTGAGAACAATCTCTTCCTGTACACGTACATTCTCTGATGTGGTCCACAACTTGTCGAACACCCTCCCTGAGGAGGCCAGAAAGGCTCCCACACTTCCATCATGCCACAGAATGTATAAAACAGAATTGTTCAGGAGGGCAGTTTTGTAAAGGGAATAGGGCTGTAGTGTAACAGAATGACTCAGGAGGGTGCTTTTATAAAAATAACAGGATTGTAGCCTATGCATTATCTGTTTATTGAGTATGTTATGCTGTACTTAGGGGCTGCGGTGGCTCAAGTGATTAAGATGCTGAGCTGCAGCCCAGAGGGTCGGTAGTTCAGCAGTTCGAGACCCGAGGGCTGCATGACAGACTGTGCTCCCATTTCTAGCCCCCCAGCTCCTGCCAACCTAGCAGTTCGAAAGCAAGAAATTGCAAGTAGATAAATAGGTTTCCATTTCGGTGGAAAGGTAACAGTGTTTCGTGCGCCTCGGCATCTAGTCATACCAGCCGCAGTCTCTTCGGCTTGGAAACGGGGATGAGCACCGCATCTCTAGAGTCAGATTTGACTGGCTTTCAAGCAAGGGAAACCTTTACTATGCTGTTCTTACTGCATCATGTTCTAATTCTGTCATTCCATTATCTGCCTAATACCTTTTTTTGCACTGTTTCTGATTTTTGTAAGCCTAGTCCTATTGCACAGTTCATTAGATATCTCATGCTATCATGCCATTTGATTGCATTGTTTTGCACCGTTTAATCCTCAGTGAGAAAGGAAAGCTGTAATGTGTAGATTGTAGATAGAGTTCAATTCAAGTTACTTATTATCACACATCATATTGTAGATGGAGGACTGAGACTGACCTAGGGCCACCTAGTATGTTCAGGGTAAGATCTGAACCCAGGTCTTCCAGATTCATAGCTCAGTCTGGGCATGTCAAACTCTTCAGAGCATTGAGCTGTAAAGAACCCTGCAAAGCAGGCCAGGCTAAGAGGCAATTGACTTGAGCAGGTCAGTTCAAGGAGCTCCAGTAGGCTGACAACTGACAGGATTATTTTGGGTTTTCACATTACGTCCTCCACACAGAAGCCACTGGAGCTGTTTCTGCATTTGGTACTCAGAACATGTACAAACAAACAAATGACCTTTATTGGCATAACAACCGAATTATAACTGGGGGGGGGGGGGGGGTACAGTTCGCAAAGAAAAACGCCTTGGCATC